TTCATTCATTCATGCCATCATTAACACAATAACACAAGTTCTATACATGCGTGAATTGATTCATGCAAATGACATTTCAGTACAGTCATTGACAAAAGTTATTTCCCATTACTGAAGCTTAGAAATATTTTATAGCGCGTTCTACTGGTCGATGAAAAAAAGGAAAAAAAAAACAGGTTTTGAGACAACTTCTGGGAATGACTCACAACCAACAGTACTTCTTAGAATAAGGTTTTATTATTCAATAAAGATGCTACTTTATTCCAGAAGAGAAATAACTTTGCTCTGTGCATTTAAACTGTTCTTAATCAGTGAATTGTTAATGACGCATCTGTTGAGTTTTAGTTGAGTATTGCATGCTTCTACAAAATTAGTAAAATGCCATGATGATAAAGTATTTTCCATGCTTCAATTTTTTTATTTGTATCTTATATTGTTTTTATATAGTTTTCTAGTAATGTTCATGGTTCTAATGATTTTGAACCTTAAATCTTTGAATAGCGTTCATGCTTCTACGAATAATTCATGCATCTGCAAATAACAGTCATGCTTTTGTATAGGAACCATGTATATACCAGTCATGTATCTATCAATAGTGCATCGACTAGTCATGCACCTTTTAGTCATGCATCTTGTCGAGCATGTACCTATTAATCATGCCTCTAACATCCATGCACCTATTACTCATACGTCTATCAATCTTGCACCTATTGATTATGCATCTATCAACCATGCAGTTATTACTCATGCATCTATTAGCCATGCAACTACTAGTCTTGTCAATGTGTCTATTGCGTCTTTGTTCATGCAGCTATTATTCTTAATCATGCAGCTATTTGTGTTGGTCATGCATATATCAGTTATGTTCATGCATTTATCCGTTCTGATCATGCATTCACATTGATCTTGTCTCAATAGCCTTTTCATGTCCCTAAAATATTTTTTCATGCTTCTAACATTATATCATATCATTACAGATGTTCCATTCACATATTTCATGATTTTTTTTTAGCAATTTCGATCCATGCACCAAGCTTTAAAAATCATGCATTCCGCTAATTCATGCACATAACATTATCTTCTTTATTTATGAGTTTCTCCACTGCATGCTGCTCGTTACAAGTTTTAGTGATAGTCGTACAAGCCAAACGTCATGCTATATCATGCAGTTATCAGTGATTGTCGAAGCAACTTTATTCTGTATTTAGTTGTTTAATATTTCGTATATCACTATGGTGATCATCATCGTGATTATCATTACTATTTTTATTATATCCTTCTGTATTAAAAAGGAAAAAACAAGTTATTTAGTTATTTAGTTATTTAGTATTTCGTATATCGTTATGGTCATCATCGTGATTATCATTACTATTCTTATCATCACCATCATGATCGTATCCATATTCTTCCGTTTTAAGAAAAAAAATACTTTCAGAAGTAGCCATTACTAAGCTTATTGAGAAGACTTTATTGCTCTAGTAGAGAATAATGATAAGGCTATTGTTGTATGATGTGGGTGTTGCAATGCGGTATAAAGTGCTGTTACGCCATCTTGCTTGCCAGTTCTGCTTGCGAAATTCCGTGGCCATTTTTCTTACTGATACGTGTCACAAATACGTAAGATAGAGATAAACGTGTGTTCGTGTGTTTGTGCGTGTATGTATGCATGTGTGTGTGCATGTGTGTGTGTGTGTGTGTGTGTGTGTGTGTGTGTGTGTGTGTGTGTGTGTGTGTGTGTGTGTGTGTGTGTGTGTGTGTGTGTGTGTGTGTGTGTGTGTGTGTGTGTGTGTGTGTGTGTGCGCGCGCGCATATTCGTAAGTATGTGTATATGTGCATGTGCATATGCATGGACATATACATATGTATGTGTATATGCGTAAGCACATGTGTATGTGTACTGCATCCGTGTATGTATAAGTTTATGTACGTGTATGTATATGCACAATATATATGCAAGCTTATTATTGATTTATGTTTATGTGCGTGTAAGTGTGTATTCTTTAGCATGTGTAAGCTTGTGTCTGACCGCCTTCACAAGTACGCGTCTCACGGCAATTGCATCTGACAGCCCCCGCCCTGTCCTGCATCTTGCCGGCCGCCCCCCTGAGGTCACAGGCGGTGACATTCTAACCTGTTCCTCCTGTTCGTTCGGCTGCAAGTTTCCCAAGTCAGACCCGGACCAAAAGAGGTCGTAGGTCATTCCAGGCAAACAGGTCAAGTACCCGCGCGATGCCTTTTACTTTCCAGTTTTGTGTTGGTCTCGCCGCGGTGGACAACCAGGTCGGCCCAAAACCCTTTCCCAGATTCTGCTTTTGAGGTTTTGATGACGTCAGAATAGGCTATCTATCGCGGCGCCGTTCGTCATTTGTCTTCATCGGCCGTTGGGAAATTTGACACATTTTCGCGGGAGATTTGAAGCGAGAATTTGCAGTAAGAATATGGAATTACGAGAGAGAGAGAGATTTTGCTGCAAGAAACGTGGAAATTGTGATTCGTAAAATGTATGAATGAATGTCTTTTTTTTCTGAATTGTTATTTTGCTCTAATGAGGTAGTTAGAAGGCGAATGTGAGGGTCTTAACTACAAAACAGTCGTTA